ACACGTCTAAACCGCACCAGCACGTGGTTCGAATAATCAACACTTGTTACCAACTTGTCTTAGCCGCTAGCAATACTTCGTCAACATCATCGCATTTCTCGCAAAGTTCCTGCCCCTTTTCTGATTCGTCTACTAACTTGCACCACGTCTGGTACATTTTTCCACACAAGACCGACGCCTAACTTAACATTTCCAAGCATTAAGTCAAAGGAAAGTCATAAGTTAGATTTTACCTCGTAACAAACCTCCTCCACTTGAAATGTTTGATGCCCTCATTAAAAAAACTGGCGTAGCTCATCCAAAAACCACCGATTTTTATTTAAACAACAAGAACAATCTCTACACGTTTCTCTCATACTTAGAGAAACAACTGCACCAATTCCCAAATCCAGTAAAGCCTCAAGGCCCAAAAACTGTTTCTCCCTCACTTGAAGAAACAAATGGTTGCACCAATTTTCCAAAATTCAGCGCAACTCCATGGCATGAAATGACTTTCTGCCCCTCAACTATTCTAAGGCTCCCTACTCAAAAATGAAGCCAACCGAGAATCAATGCCATCACCAACCGTCCAATAACTAACCAGCAACAACAAATATTCTCAATCTCTACCACACTTTGCTACCCTTATTTTGCTAGAGCAATACCCGATTAAATTCGATCGCCCATCTCACCTAGAAATTTCTTACTTGCTGCATCGTATATAAATAAACATCCACACGATCATCAAAGATCCTCACACGTTTTATCAAGAAATCCACAAGTCGATGCACTTCTCACAAGAATAGCAACCCGTTTCATCATGCAACCAAAATTGAAAAAGAAATTTTGACAATTCCTTTCCTAAAACTCAAATCAAGAACAATAAAAACTTAGTGAGTGTTTCATACCAAACAACAGCGAACAAAGTTTTGATCCCATATGCAAGTCCCTCTCGGTAAAAGCAGCAATATGTGATGCACAGATCACCTTGATAGCAACTCCACCTCTCGCAACCGGGACTCTGATACGAACTTGTTAGACCCAAATCTCTTTCTATGAAGTCGACCATCTACCAGCGTGAATTTTGCCCAGCCAAAACCCACCATCCCCCTAAGCAAGAAATAATTTCAAGGCAGATAAACATTTATATCTCGATAACATGTAATTTTATTACTCAACACAAAACTTACAAACAATTTCATGTCTCAAATGAGATTGGAAACTAACTATAGGCTCTCACTCTCTAGCAATACGTGATGCACAGATCACCTTGATAGCAACTCCACCTCTCGCAACCGAGACTCTGATACGAACTTGTTAGACCCAAAATCTCTTTCTATGAAGTCGACCATCTACCAACGTGAATTTTGCCCAACCAAAACCACCATCCCCCTAAGCAATCACGCAGTAGTAGAAATTCGCTTAGCAAATACCAAGAAATAATTTCAAGGCATATAAACATTTATATCTTGGACCCAAGTCCCGATAACATGTAATTTTATTACTCAACACAAAACTTACAAAAAATTTCACGTCTCAAATGAGATTGGAACCTAACTCTAGGCTCTCACTCCCTAGCCAACATTTTCCAGGCTTAGCTATTTCTCCACTGAAGTCTACTTTCAGGTTAGACTTTCCCAGAACTCTCAAAACTCAAGGCATTCTTACATCTTGCCTTCTCCTCCTCCCACAGTTTTCCGCCTCTCTACATCTCTATAAATAGAGATAATGTAGTTAACTTCCCCAACTACCTAGGATAAAGGAAATATACAAGTTAAATGGTTTATAATTTTAAATCACTAAAATAACTATCCACTAAACAGCTTGTAACCAATTTGTAACTACCTATTTTTTTGCATTCAGCCTCCGTTTGCTTTCTTGCCCACGTCCAAGCCACACCTAGCTTGTGGTTTGAACTACCAACACTTGTAAGCAACTCGTCTCAATTGTCAAAGTATATAAGTACATTGGGCTCCTATCTCAAAACGAAATTGGTAATGCGTGGGTGGCTTCTGGAACTTATATATTGAGTCACTTCTCTTCACGCTGGCAATGTGGGACAGATATTATACCTTAACACCTTCCCTCAAGTCCAATGAGTTTTTGAACTTTTTGCCAAATGGACATGGATCACAACAAGAATAGAACAAGCCCACGAGTCAAGACTCAAGTGCAAGAAAGCAAGTGATGCCGCTGGATTGATCCACAACAAGCCCACGAGTCAACGCTCAAGTGAGTTAATGTAAAATCAACACAGGCCACATCCGGCCTAGAACACCACCACTGGCCCAGAACGCTCTGATACTATGTCAAAGTATATAAATACCTTGGGCTTCCATCTCAAAACCAATTAGCAATGAGTGGGGTGGATTTTGGAACTTATATAATGAGTTACTTCCTTCACACTGGCAATGTGAGACAGATATTACACCTTAACATCATCCGCCTAGCAACACTTTGTGAACACCATCAAATATTCTCGCAAAGTTTCTGCCCGTTTTCTGATTCGTCTACTCGCACCTCGTCTTGCACATTTTTTCGACCAACGCTTGACTTAACATTTCCAAGCATCAATTCTAGGAAAATCATAGGTAAGGCTCTGTTTGATAATCACTTAATATAGTGACTTAATTTATTTAAGTAATTAATGAAATTAAGTGTGTTTGATAATCGCTACTAAAAAGTCTTAATGAATTAAGTTCTGAACTAATTTAAGTATTATAAATTAAGTGCGTTTGATAACTAAAATTCACTGTCTGAATTAATTAAGTGCGTCTGAATGGCCAGTTCAATTGTGAGCCAGAAAATAAGTGATAGACCTATCACTTATCACTTATCACTTAATTTCTGTGATGACTCTTTCTTTTTCTTTTTTCTTTTTTTCCTTTTTTTCCCTCGTCTTTATTTTGTCACTTATTGTTTTTAAAATTTTTATTTTCTTAAGATAAATTAATTAAGAGTGCTTAAAGTTGACTTTATATTATGTGTATAAAAAATCTCAAACTTTCAAACTCAAATTAAACTAATTTTAATACATGAAATTTGTTAAATAACAAAGTATACACATATATGTAATAATCTAAATTTAATTATATATTGATTATTTACCAAGTGTAACATCTACTTTCATTATATATACAAAAATTTATTTTAAAATTATTATTTTATTATTTAGAATAAAATATTAGTTATTTTTATATTTAAAAGAATTTTGTTTATAATTCAATTTTAATGATATTAAAATTTTAAATAACTTTCAGACATGAGTATTCAGATTCAGTCTTCAGACTTCAGACTTCAGTCTTCAGACATCATATTCAGACGTTTTTATCAAACAATGTAAATTCAGTTTTCAAACTTCAGACTTCAGCGTTAAGTATTAAGTGTTCAGATTCAGACTTTAGTGATTATCAAACAGACCCTAAGATTTTGCCTTGTAACAAACCTCTCATACTTGAAATGTTTGATGCCCTCATTAAACAAACTGACATATCTCCATCAAAGACCGTTGATTTTGTTTGAACAATAACAACAATCTCTACACGTTTCCTTCACGTTTAAAGAAACAACTTGGCTGCACCGATTCCCAAAATCAACAAAGACTCAAGACCCAAAAATGTTTCTCCCTCACTTGAAGAAACAAACGGTTGTACCAAGTTTCCAAAACTCAACGTAACTCCAAGGCGTGAAATAACTTTCTACCTCTCAACCTTTCTGAGGCTCCCTACTCGAAATACAGCCGTTCACTACTCCATTTCCTACGAAACCAAGAATCAAAACCATCACCAACCGTCTCAGATAACCAGCTTGCAAAAACAAAGATTCTCAATCTCCACCACACTTTGCTGCCTGTCTTTTGCAAGAGCAGTACCCGATCAAACTCGATTGCACATCTTACCTGGAAATTTTTCACATACTGCATCATATATTGATGATCATCCACACGATCAATCAAAGATCCTCACATATTTTACCAAGAAACCGACAACTCGCTGCGCTTCTCACAAGAAAAACAACATGTTTGGTTAAGAAACCAACAACGAAAAAAGAAATTTTGACAATTTCTTTTCCAAAACTCGAATCAAGAACAATAAAACCTTACTGACTATCCCATACCAAACGATAACGAACAAAGTCCGTGATTCCAATTGCAAGTCTTTCTCCATAAGAACAACAATATGCGATGCAAAGATCACATTGCATCATTACATTTGATATCAGCTCCATCTCTTGCAAACGATAACATTTATAATAATCCGACTAACAGAATATATTAATAAAGATATTACAAAGTAATCTTGTCTTTATGTGTATATATATATATATATTTCTATTTGACCTCTACACTCAAATAAATAATGTTTTTTTAGGACATAATTTGACAAAGATGGTGGTGTTAAATTTTTTTTTTGTCGGGCTTATGACTGGGCTCTAGAATTTGTTGCATGTAGTAGTGATGGGATAACCCACGACTTAGCTAAACTGATTTCTCATGTGTTGTTTAAAAATTACATGCGAAAAATTGGCCTTTACATGCAAAAAGTTCTAAAGGCTATTCATAGGCCCAACATTTTTTTTAAAACACTCTATCTTTGTCAAATTTCTTAGAAAAATATTCTTACTTTGAGCATAAAGATAAAATAAAAATAGATATAAAGACAAGATTACATTGTGATATCTTTATTAAATAATATATTTTGTTGGCCGGATTAGCATTAGTGTTATCGGTATCATTTTTAATAAATTGCTCTCCAAATGAATGAATAGCAAACTTGATTTCCTGTTCTCAATTCAACATTTTCCCCTCCATCCTTTTTCCTCATTTTTAATTCTATTTTTTTTTTTAGCGAGATGACTAATAATCAATCAAAGGGATTAACCAGTGCAAACGTGAAAAAAGGAAAAACGGTTCTTTTTTTTTTTTTTTTTTTCGTATTGCAGGGTGCTTACCGACGACAACACTTCTTTCTTTTATACCAACAAGTGACAATCTCCTGTAGATCATCATTAGGCTCAGCCTAGTGACAGGCGAGAGCCGATCCAGCCCAATGACGAAGCATCTAGCGTAGTAAAAACGCGCGTTTACTCCACGCACGTATAAATAACATTTTTTTTGCATTACATAATATCCACCTACTTTTATTTCTCCCTCCTCTCAGTACTTTGCTCTCCGCCATCACAAATCCCTCTCTCAAATTCAAAATTTTGAGCTCCATCAAACCCTAGCTTTCTCTCTCTAACTATCTACAAATGAAGAAAGGCACGAAGAGAAAGGCTGGCCGCAAAGGGGGAGCCGCCAAATCCAATGTGGTTATGAACGATGCTAGCCAAACCGTAGAAGAGAACAACCACCAGGAGCCGGAGCCGGAGGCGAAGGCAACTGAAAGTCAATCTGGAACGAATGATAAGCCTGTGGCGGCGGAAGAAGAAAGCAAGAAAGCTGACGCTGCTAGCAATCCGGTTGAGAAGGAAACAAAGAAGAAGGATGAGTCAAAGCGACCAGCTAAGCGAGCCAGAGTTGCGAAGCCGCAAGAAGAGCCTGAGTACTTTGAGGAGAAACGTAATTTGGTAAGCTTTACTTATCTCGTTGTGCTTGCAATTTGAGCTGTTGATTTTCGGTTGATCGTGTTATACTTCTGTAAAATGCTGTTTTCGGATTTAGATTTTCAGCCGTTTCTTAGAGAAGTTGCCTTGAGTTTTTGCATTTTGGAGTCTGTCTATACGCATGACCTAATCTGAGCTGATATATAGGAATTCTATGTAATTCTTATCTTTTCCAATCTTGTATCATGGTGATTTTCTCTGCGTGTTTCTTTTACTTGTGAGCTGTTTATGATTATGTTAAAGAATGTTTGCAAAAGGTTAGGTGACTGACTGCTGCTATTTTGTTGGATGAGCATTACTGTTTTTGGATTAGTTGCTTATTATTGTACTAATTATTGCTTTTCTTTTTGTTTTGCAGGAAGATCTATGGAAAGAAATGATTCCTATTGGTACAGAGGTACATTTTGATTACCTAGTTGTTTTCCAGCCTTATGAATGCTCTTTGTTTTGCTTTGCAAAGAAATTTACTCTTGTTATTCTTTTCTTGTTAACAACAGTGGGAACAGATTGACCTGGTTTACCGGTATAATTGGAGTTTTAAGAATCTGGAAGTGAGTTACTGTTCTTCATTTATTTTTTTATCCTACTCCTTTTACTTGTATTGTTTAGATATCTTTTCTCTTGGATTTGCTACATTCATTCTTTGGATTAAGTTGAAAGTACATATATCTGGTGCTAAAAGTTATTATATGCTTTGCTGCAGGAGGCACTTGAGGAAGGCGGGGTGTTGTATGGGAAGAAAGTGTATCTCTTTGAATGCACAGAGCGTAAGTGTTCTTGTGGAGCTGATTTCCATGGCTTCTTAAATTTAACTTCTGAAAGAATGTCGGGAGGAAGGGTTTGCAGAAGAAGCGTTGCCCTTAACCTTTGAGCTATTTTGATTAGCTTTTGCTTTTGGTTGTCTCATCTTGACATTAGCACAGTTCTTTATCTTTGCTAATAAATCATGATCGGCTAATTCTGCATTTGCCGTGGCAAATTTCATCTAGAAAAGACTTAAGGGTTGGGGGTAGCAGAAAAAGAAAAAGGGGGGTTGGGGGTAGCAGCTGATAGAATGTGATTTAAATGATTTATTAATCTCACACGGTTTCTTGACAGCAATTTGATTTCTCTTTTTTAATTTATTGTTGCAGCACAATTTATTCCTGTCCAGGGTGCACACAAACTGGTTGTCATACCTGTTGTGGTGGCTGTAAGTTCATGACTTTACCTATTCCTTTCATGCTATCTCCAGAAGCATTTACTGTATGTTTTGTTGGTCCAACCAAAGATTTATGAGCATGGTCAATTTTCCTACCTATTATGGGTGCTTCTAGTTTCAATTTTACCTATGTCTACAGTTTCCATTTTGCCAGTGCATCTCTTTAGCTGCATAACCTTGAAAACTTTTTGGCCAAAATGTTGTAATACCATTTTATCAGATGGTCCTCACCATCCATGGATTTTTAACTTAATTTTAATTATGTTATTTATGAAAAGTTTGGGCTACACCTGAGGTATCCATAATCCATAGGAATTTTTGTAGTAGCTTTTTCTCAGATATGAAGTGTTTATTTGGTTTGTTTCTATCTTGTTAACAGGCAGCATCTCCTTTTCCACCTTCTGACCAAATTGGGATTGCCTCAGTACAGAGGGAGTCTGAAGATATTGTGCCTATGAAAAAAATGAAAATGGACTGGATTCCTTATATCCCACTAGAAAATCGGTATCTACCACACCTTTTTGTGAACTTAGTGATGGATATTTCATGCATGCTCTTATGCTTCTGTGACATGACTATTTTGTAGGGGTCGTCAAGTAGAAAGACTTAAGAACCAAAAACATGAGACCCAAATTTTCATTCTAGGCTGTACACAAAGAAGGTAACTCACAGTTTGAAATCTCCATCGTTCTTTCTCTCTCTCGTCGCAGCTTACTGTTTATGCACTTCTGTGCACCTGGGTGATTTTTGTATTGAGTTGTGAATTTAGTATCTGAAAGTATCATGTGCTTTTGTAATCAACCTTAAACTTACTGCATGGAATATCATAAATTAGTGAACTAGCTTAGAGCTGCTGCAGAGTCTAAGATACAGGCCACTTGAAAAACTTATTGTTGCTACAGTTATCTTCTTGTCCTCTTTTTTCCTCTGGCCGGGGTTTTTTTTTTTGGGGGGTTGGGTGGGAAGTGGCTGTGATGTAAACTGGAGCTGCTATGGAATGAGAAATACATGGTCTGTGGTTGTTAGACATTTAGATCTCTGCTTCTCTGTTGGTTCCTTCTTCTTTGTGTGCCCATTGATTGTCGCTTAGTTATGTAATTCTGCATTTATTATGATTTCCAGATCATGTATGAAGTCATTTTGTGGTACATACCTTGTCATTGTGTTGCAATCTAAAAATATAGTCGTGTCAAAATTGTACACAGAGATGAGGTTAACTTGTGCTATTAATCTTCTCTAACATTGTTTTGATAGGGTAGAGTGTGTCAAAGGCTTAACTTCTTTTTTTTTTTTTTGGGACAGGGCTGGATTGAAACAACTGAATGAAGACCGTGTGAAGAAGTTTCAATATTGTTTGCCTTGTGAGTGCTTTTTCTTCCTTTAGCTTTCAAATTTTGCTTCTAATGCTACAATAAGATTCCATTTATTGCTTCAACTTTGCTGTTAAACAGAATCAGTGTCTAGGCTTTCATCTTGTTTGTGCCTAAAAGCATAACTACCCGCAATATCTGTGGCACATGCCTTCTTAAAGATCTTGAACTCTTTTTAGATATTGCTGATAGCATTTTAATTGACCAAAAGCTGCACATGCCTCCAGAAGTTTCGTAGTGGGTGGGGGAAAATGAAGTACACCTAACAAACCTCTAGGATGACTGTGTTTAGCACTTTGTTCACGGGCAGTTTCTCTTTGGGTGTGGTAAATTAAAATTTCTGGGTTGTCTGGCGACATCAGTGCCTCTACTCTCTTGAAGCATGTAATGTTTTCATATTTAATAAAACGTGACTGGTATTTGAAGCAAAATTTTCACTCATAACTGATACAGCACTTAGAATACCCTAGAGAATCTTCAAGACCAATCTAGTTATGGCTCCAGGCTTTGAAGTTGGTGATGCTGAGATACATTCAACCTGGGATTCAGTGCTCAATCTAATTTTTGGAAGAAAACATTGAGTGTGTGATAAATAAAATCTCCAATGAGTAGTAATAATATCGTTTGTAACCCCAAAGAGGCTTTGAATCTTGTGGCTTCCCCCCGTGATCTGATTTAGTAGCATATGATCACCATTTATATAAGTCCAAACAGAAGATTGATGACTAACGGTTTATGGTGTGTTTTACTTTTTGGGGGGATTTTCTGGCATGGCAGATTTCTATAATCCCTTCAAGGAAGATGAAGAGGTTGACAAAACAGATGTATCCATCATGTATCCTACAGAACCACCGGTATGATATTCTCCATATGTAGAGATATAAGGGAGATCATTAATCTGTTGAATTTTCATATATATAAAGTCAGTTGCTTTTGGATGTAAACGATATTCTCTTATGGGGTTTTGCACCTGCAAAATACTGATGGTAAAAATTATGTCTTGCCTAATTTTAAGTTTATCTTTTATCCTTTGCAGATAGTCTGTGAATTTGATTGGGAATTGGATGACCTTGAGGTATGGCATGAATAATGTTTGTGATTAATATTGTTTATGGCAACATTTCCCATTCCATGTACTTAGTGCAAGTTTGTTCGATGTGCAAAATCCTTCTTGATGAAGACAAATAAATTTCAAAGAAAGTGATGATTGCAAATTAAAATTTACGAAAAAAAGGCTAGTTATCTGATGTTTCTTTTCTCCTTTCATTCTGCAACCGTGTGTCATCCCTTCTGCTGTGAATTTGGATGACTACAAAATTGGAGATTGACGTATTTATTGAATTGAATTATTTTTGTAGGAGTTCACGGACAAGCTGATTGAAGAAGATCAATTACCTGCTGATCAGAAGGAGGAATTCAAGGTAGTTATGAGCTAGTTGTGCACTTTGCAACTTTCCTTTCTCTTGTTCTACTACTGTAGTGACAACAGTTTGGCTTTTTCTTCAGAAATTTGTTAAGGAGAAGGTTCGAGAAGTCAGAAAGGCCCAGCGTGAGGTATGCCGAATATTTTTCCAGTTTCTGGCATGTCATTTCTTAGACATTGAGCTGTAATGGTTGATTATGTTACTTAAATTTTTGATAGGCTAAGGAAGCTAGGAAAAAAGCATTGGAAGAAATGAGTGAAGAAAAAAAGACTGCAATTCAGAGTATGAGGTTCTACAAATTCTATCCGGTTTCCACTTCCGATACGCCTGATGTATCTAGTGTCAAGGTACGTACATGCAACAACGTTGACAAGTTAACTTTCCTCTATTCACATCGTGGATTCTACCAAATTATGGAAAATGTGTTTTTTACAGACTTTGTTCCAAGTGGCATGTTCAGTTATCAGTCTGTATTGACGCTGTGCCTTGAACTAATGTGTAGAGTATAGATAACTTGTGGCCTGTCTCATTTATGTAGTGCTGTATCCTTTGTATGGTCAGTTGGCTGTTAAATGTTTTGAAGATGTCTCTGACTCTTCTGTAGAAGAAAAATTTAGTTGTCATATATGCAGAAAACCCTCAGGTCCTTATTATAAGGCATTTTGATTTGTTCCGAGTTTCATTTTGGTATGTTCTTCCAATTGAGAACATACTAAATGAAACTTAGGACAAATCAAAATAACGGAGGGAGTATCATGCTATGTAACTGAACTTGGGCTTTGTTTATAAGAGATTATTCCTGTATTGCAACCTTTATCCACGCATGGTTTATTAAGATTGATTCTTGAGAGCAAAGTAGGCATGTTTGGAATGGTGCAAGGGCTGTTTTTAAGAAGAGAATCTAACCTCCTCGTCTATTGTTGTAGGCTCCCTACATAAACAGATACTATGGGCGAGCTAATGAAGTTCTGTGAGGAGACTGCAAAGATGAAGGGTCGTTAAGACACTTAGTAATTCTCTGGCATTGCCATCTGGGCAATCCCCTGCTACCGAAAGGAGTTGAGTTGCTGTTGTTAATACTGTTGATCAATTGGCGGTGTTAGATTTCTTGCCATTTAAGATGTAAAACTAAAGAGTTTTAGTCCAATCAGGAATTAGAGAAAACGTTATAGTTGGAAGAGAAAGATAACACCCTTTTTGTATGTGATACAACATATCAAAGCTCTCAATTTTGGAAAGATTGTTACAATTTTCCCAATACATTGCAATTGAGTGTTCTCCCTGGCTTATTCTCAAACTATTGCCATAAGTTCTGTTGGCATCCTCTGCACATTTCCTCTCTTTTTTCTACTGTATTAGTAATTGTCTTTTTTTACCAACGTTTACTTCCTCTATAGTATCCTTAGACAGCAGGTTTCCACTAATTAATCATGATGGTTGTCGGTCGAGTTTAAATCTAAAACATGGGCAAAAAATTTCTCCATTTTTTTTTAAAAAAAATTAGATGGCCAACGAGAATTGGATTCTTGACTTTTTGGTAATAACCATTTCATGTCTTATACCCCTAACCATCCCACCTAACCCTTCCATCCAAATAAAAAAAAAATATTCTATCCGTCCCACAAAAATAGTCAGTATAATAAAAGAGTTTGTTCCAAAAAAATAGTCCAGTTTCACAAAAGTCAAAATTAATTGAATTAAAATGACTTAAATATTCAAAAGAGTAGGGGTAACGAAAATAAGATCCACTTTCTTTGATTTTTATTTTTTTCTAGTTTTCTCCCATTTTTTCAAATGGTTATATCTTTTAATACATTAATAATTAAAAAATATGTTACATATCAAATTAATCTACGTAACGAGATCTTTCCCTCAAGATCTATTGTCAATATTTTTTGAGATAAAAATTTTGATCAAATTTAAGTTATAAAATAAATGCATATGTAGTTAACTTTTATAAAAATAACTAGAATGGCCATTAGTGGAAGTTAAGAACATAAAATGAGTTGTACATTTGGTGTATTGACCAAATTAAAAAAGTTGCATATTTTCAAACTGAATTATTTTTCTGAGACGACGAGGAGGGAAGGGAGTAAAAAATTCCTCAACCTATAGCTTTCACCGTGATGAAAAAAATCAACAAAAGAAGAACGGAAAACAGTGAAATTATATAGCTGGGGAAAAGCGGAAAAGAAGCCCAAACCGAGAAGTATCATTACATGATGGTACTTCTTTCCCCGACGCATTCTTGCTGAAAATCAATGAACCAGACACAAGGGAAACCGAATGAGAAGACATTTTCTCTTAGCTGTGCTCATCACGGGCTTCAAGCTAAAAACATTGGTGATAGATTTGTTTCTGTCTGGGAAGAAAAACTGGAAAAATAAAGAATAAAATCCCAAAATAATTTATGTTCAGGATTCAGGAGTCAAGCATCGGAGATGTGCATCCAAAACCGACGCCATTTTCTGGGGTAGGATAATGAAATAATAATCTCCCCGGTCTTCCTGGTGCTCCGATCAAGCAAATAAACGGAACTCCATTGGGAAGTATTCCTTCAGGCTGCATAAAGCAGGATTCTGAGATGGAAGACGGACTTCTCCCACATTCTTTTTACCTCTTTATCCTCTCAAGGAGTCTTCCTCTTCCGGACGTTATAATTCATGGCGGCCAGTGAACCTAAACACGAGAGCAACAGTCCCGAAATTCGGTTGATAGTGCTATATTTTCCTCACATGTTTTTTTTTTTTTTTGATAGAAATTTTCCTCACATGTTATGAAAGCGCAATTTCATCCCCTACAAAAAGGGGGAGAAAACAGGAGTTTCAAACAAAATTAGATCGTTTATATAACACTCTTGTTATAACAATTCAGCTTTAATATAATTTTGTGCTGAAAATAAAAATCCAAAAGTTCCAATTTTTTCAGACAATGAGAATACTAAATAACAAGACGTGAATTGAATGACAGTCTAATGGTTAGGTCGCTGTCGTTTCTGGTAATAGACCAGGATTCCATTTCTACCGGGAGTTGTAAGGGAGTTTTAAGAGGTGGAGATCAAAACGTTGTGACACTTCCTGTGACATACAACCACAAACTGTCACATGTCCAATTTACTCCCCCTTCAAACGGAGTTAAACGGGTTGCTAACAGGAGCAATTGCAAAAAAGAAAATAATTGAAAAAAAAAAGTGAAAACATGGCACCCCTCGTTACGCACTCATTAGGAATCCTAATCAGTTACCAAATTACGGAAGAAATATCAACAGTCAACAATCAACCATCAGATTTTGAGTTTAGCTCTTGTACGAATCCGTGTTTTTTACCCAAATAATTTTTAATGGAAGGACATGGACAAAAATATATGTCCGGAAGTGTTGTGGACAAATCTAGTTGTCTCGAATTTGCCAAATCCGAATCTATCCATTTTTTACTAGATTCGGATTTGGCAAATCCGAAGCTCCTTGTATTACAACTGTGTGATGAATAAATTCTATTGGGTAAATTAGTAGAAAATGGATAGATACAGATTTGGTAAATCTGATACAACTAGTTTTGTCCACCAAAAATTAAAAAAAAATTATTTTTATCTACAACTTTTTTTGGAAATTTTTTTGGCCGAAGCACTAGGAATCCTAATCAGTTACCAAATTATACCACAAGTTGCATATTCTGAATTAGTTCAGAATGGAATGGTGACATTTTATATCAAGTCCTCTTCTCTTGAAGTGCATCTTGGACGGGATCATTTGACTATGGAATCAGTTTGGGAGTTTCGGATTTCGTCTTCTCAATTTCACTATTATTTCTTAGATAAACAGATCCACTATATTTTCATCAAGGCACATTTAACAAATACTCTATGATTCATGAGATCTTGTAATACATTGAGCATCAAAATAAATAATGTTACACTATTGAAGTTTACATACCACTTCAAAAAAAAAAAAACAAAAAAAAGCTTACATAAAGCCTTATCCCAGAAGGTAACACCAACACTACTCCTTTATGGCAACCAGGCAGCAGCTGTGTGAATAAACTGAAAATGTCTTTTGACATATTTCACTGGAAAACTGAAAACCCAGACCCTTCAACCTCCCTACCCTAATCTAGTTAACATCTTCAATTACATCCATCTTATCTTAATACATATGACAGCTTAACGCGATGACATCCTGCAATTATCAGGGAAAATATACATAGACTAGGTTACACGAAGCACCCAGACCGGGATAAATCACAAATTTTGTAGGCTATAATACATACAAACCAACAAGGTATATCACCTGCCCTGGATCCAGATGCAAATTCTTAATCTAAAACTAGTCCGATGCTGTCATTGGAGATCACTGAATATTAGCAACGCAAAGTGATCTTTCCATTCCCCAACGCTTGCAAAAGGCAGAAAACCACAAAGCAAGGGTATTAGAAGACCAACAGTGCCATAGAAGAGACATCTCCTTATCCAATATGGGACGAATGGATCGATCTTCTTTCCTTCCGAAACTGAAAGGGGACCATGAAGAATTCTAAACAAAATTGAGGTCCAGAGGTTCGAAAATAAGTGTATGCAGCATAAACTCTCCCAATACAGAAGCCAACAGTTTCCACTGCCCCCTAATGTGTCAATGCACAGTTTCCCAGCAAAACCGCAGGCAAAAGCTAGTAGTAATACTATGAAGGTAACCGGCATTGCTTGATTTGATGTTGCGGACCGCTGAAGGAGCAGATAAGCAATTGCAAGGACCATGAATCCACCAGCCAGCATCCGTGTCAGAACTTGAAATTGACATGTCAAAATCTTCAGTCCAGAGTTGAAAGATGCCATTGGGTTCAATCCAGAGAACCATGACTTTGTTTCCTCGTGAATCTATGAGAAACTAAAATAATGAGAAAAAATACAGTTGTTTGAACAAAGAATGGACAGACACAGGAATATCATATCATTAACCAAAAGCAAGAGTAAATGCACCAAGGAACAACAGCAATATCAGCAGCAGCAGTATCCAAAAGCTTTATCTTGTGGATAATTAATGCACCAAGGAACAACAGCAGCAGTATCAAGGAATCAAAACTAAATCTGAATTCGTCCAGATACCAATTCCAGAATATGCCATAGCTAATTTTTCCGATTGATGCAAATGCACAGGATGCCATAAATTCTCTTCACCATAAATTCTCTTCATTAAGTACCAATATCAAGCACTTAGGGTTAAGATTGTGCGCGAGTGGCAGGATACAAGCAGACAACCTCGGCATAACTCTGAAGTTCCCAAATGATCACCGGGAATCCATTAAATCGAATAAAAGAACAAACATGGCTTACCTTTTCCGTACTACAAGATGCTGTCGCTTCGGTGATTCGTTTGTGAGAGTAAAGAAAAGCTCCATATCCAACACAAGCCAGCATGACTAAGAGACCTGCGACGAGACTGTCTATGCACTTTCTAAGCAGCTCAGCATATCTTGTTTCTTCCAGTTGAGTTTTAAATTTTTCAGCCTTGAAAGATGCCTTAGAAAATCCAAACGAGAGTTTCCATCTTTCCAAAAGGTTCGCATTCTCACTTAAAGCCAGTTGACGTTCCTTGAGTTGCATCTTTTTCATTGTAAGCCCCATCTTAAATCTCATAAGGTCATTGGATCGAGCTTGCTCTTCGAGAGATTTTTCCAAGGTGCTCAGAATTGATTTGTAATTGTCTTCCTTTGTGTTTCTGCTTGGGAAAACAGAGGACATCTGCTGCTCTATTTCTGTATCATGCAGAACAAGCTGGGTATTTCTATAGTCCAACAGTGGGCTCTCGCCCAACTGTTCTCGATTGCGTGGTTGTCCAAACATGGTGTTTGCTTGAAGAATCTGGTCTGCCCAGCATTCTTTATCAGAACAACGTGCAGAATGTTCTGATCTGTCTGGAGAAGAGGCTGTGGACACTTCAGAAAAGCATTTCCCAATCTCCGGGTTCTCCTTTGCTCCATTATCTTTTGCACATTTGTTAATTAGATTCAAAGTCATCAAGGTACTCCTGAATGATCTCTCAAAATTCTCCAGAAAACCATCAAACTGATCTCCATAAACCTGTTTTGATCGTAAAACATGTTACCAAGCGTCTTGACTTCAGATTCAGCAATGGATGTGGAATACCACTAATGTTGAACACCACTTACATTGACTAAAGACTCCCGCACTGCTCCAGCACAAATCTACAGACAACAATACACATTTCATCACATTAGACTCACATTTAAAATATAAAACCAGAGGAAGTTGAACAGAATGTATAACTCTTATCAAATCCTCCATTTGGGTTGTAACTAACTGGTTGACCTATGAAAGACCATGCGAAAAAAGGCACCGAGGCTCCACCAACACCATATATAGCAGTTTATAACAATAACTTTTAAACAGCTCCAAAGAAAAAGTAACAAGGCATAACATTATTGACGACAGCAAAAGTATAATGTTTCTTCCTCTCAGTAACTTAAGTTCACAAACTTCTTACAGCATGACATCATTTATCGAAAAAAATGCAAGCATACCTGAGATAGGTGATCTGCCGATATGGTCTTGTCTACTTCGTCTTTTCCTTTCAAAACCTGTAAAAGCTCAAAGTTGTAGGTTGCAATTGCGTGATACAAAATGAGAAAACAAACAGTTTCACATAATGAATCGCAATCCAAAAAACATCTTCAACATGGTTTTATGCAATTAATTCCAATAAATTGGGAACTAATTTCACAACACCAAACAGCAAATGTTCTGGAGATCCAGAACCAAATTTCTAGCTCCTCAAACGCATATCTTCCAAACAGCAATCAATCCCCATCATAGAGAACTTTTCATGATGAAGCAACCTAAAATAGCTTCTACAAAAGTAAACAGCTCTGAATCTGGTCAGTGCCTGCATTGATCAGTGCTTGCTTTGATCAGTGTGTGCATCTAGAAATCACATTTGTATGTTTGACGGAAACACACTGATCAGTGCTTGCATCTAGAAATCTCAGTTGTATGTTTGATGGAAACAATTAACTCAGTCATAAACAGCAAGGACGAAGATCTTGATTCTGAATAGACAAACATACCACTCTTACGTTAAAAAGAAAACTAATGTTCACATCATCAAACTCAAAATTCATTTCTCCACCAGAAAGTTGTATCTCTAAAGTGAAGTCAGACTAAACACACACTGTTAACAACGGCTTTAAATCAAACTGAATCGTCCATGGTCAAAATTTTAACTTTCGTTGCAAGCTACAAACTTTCTTAAGAAACACAAAAAACTGTGCACAATTATAAAAACATACCGACAATAACATTAGTAGAGACAATAGGCTGTCCGATGAAATAAGTCATTTATGTTTCATAAAAGCAAAAGCAGAAACTTTCATACTGAAGATCAAAACTTGCCCACAGAATCTACAAAGCAATAAAGATGTTCCCAACAAATTCGAAATAAACAATCCCACTTAGGAAATTTTTTTGAAAAATTAGACACCGAATTCTTACCTGAGCAACAACAGCAGCAATAGACATGCCAAGAGGTAAAGCAAGAGCTCCTACATTAGCCAGTTTGGGCCGCCCCGGCCCGGAAAGAGCTTTCAAACTCCGACTAGCCCGAAAAAGCCTAATCCCTCTTCTCCGAGATACGTATTGCGAAAAGGACGCCGCAGAACTGGAAGAATCCGACGATGAGGGTTTTGGGCGCGGTTTCAAAGATATCGTCTTTTTGTTTGTTTTCTTCATGATGATGGGTTTGGCGGCATTCGTACCCTCTACGGTTGTTAAGGAGATTGGTGAAGGGGCGGATGGCGGCTGAGCAGCCGTTTTGTCTGTCTCCGGCACGGCCGTAGATTCTTCCGGCAAGTGTTGAATTTGCAGCGGGAGAGAAGAAGGTGGAGCGGGTTCCATATTGAATTTAGGAAATAGGAAGGGGCGGTTAAGGTTATTCGAAAATCAAATATTTGGAAGGTAAAAAAAGGGGAAAAAGTCCAAAAAACAAAAGTTGATTTAAATTCTATTACTAGTACATATTTTGGAAATAGGACACAATATTCAGCGATATTTTATTTTCTGACCGTTGTAAACGATAAAATACTGTCTTTGTTCAAAATTATTGTCCAGTATTAAATTTTATTTTTAGTATAATTTGTATTAGAGATGGAAATCTAAACTGGACTATAATTTTGGGACGAAGAGAGTATAACTGATCTGTTTACATTCTACGATTAATGTAAGGAAAATAAATTTTCCTTAAATTGGCTGAAAATCATCTAAAAAAGTAGTAACACATTTTTCACTCGATCAAGTTCAAATGATTTTTCTTCCTATAGTTTCCTTTGATTAATTCTTTTTAATTAAGTTTTGCCATTCTTTAATTTATGGTTATAGTTTTATTTTATATCGTAGGACCTGGAAGTAGCATGATTATTTCTATTTGTTACACACTTTCTTTGCAATGTATTGTCCCACAAAATTATACATTATTAATTGTGTATTGTGTTGTTTTTCCATGACGACGGGAGTAATAGTTAATACTCTCTCTATTCCAAAATATATGTCGTTAGAGGAAAACTAAATTTTTTTTATAATAGATGTCGTTTTTACATATTTAGGCATATTTTGTCATATTTTTCTAACATTGTTCCTACATTTGAAGTTGTAATTGTATTTAAAATAGAAGTGTATTAGAACTAAATGATATTGAGAATAGAATTGTATTGAGAATAAATGAGAGTAATTTAGTATTTTAACCAAATATTTATTGTCTCCTTAAATTTTGTGAAACTCCTCCAGCGACATATATTTTGGAATGGAAGGAGTACTATCTTTATATATTAATAGAGGATGAAAATGCTAATACGGTACAAAATTGAGAAACCCAATTAAGTTGACATAAACAAATAAATATTATCATCATGTATTAACAATTTTACAATTTGACTTACGATTAAAAAAAAGCTAATTTTTTTTTTAACGCCGGGAACTCCACCAGAGATAAGTAAACACACGCCTACTGCAATAGCCTGCAAAGCATAGTGGGAGGTAAATCACCCTAGGCAAGCCCAAGGTGACAAGCTCGGGTATGAAATTGGCATTTTATGAGTGATTTTGCCATAATAAACTCTCTAGAGATACCAATGGTAAGGTTAAAGTCATCCCTTCATTCTTATTGGGGTGGGAGTTTAAACTCATGACCTTCTTTTGAGAGCCAAGGTGGTTTTATTACTGAACTAACCCCTCATTCGTAAAATCTAAATATTTGGTTACACTAAATTTTAACAAAAAATCTAAAGATGATTATGATTTAAAAAAATAAAATAAAATATGATATCTAACAATAGATTGGTCATACATAAAATGGGAGGATAAAAATTATTTACATTATCATCTAAATATTTTTTTCCCTCCCAAATAAATAGTGGTTGGCTCATATGATACTTCCATTTATAGTAAACAATTAAGTATTAAATAATTAATCAAATATGATAATCCCATATAAAACTTGTTAAATTTAAAAAGTTGATAAGATTGTACTACCTCCGTATTAAAAAAAAATAGTCCACATTAAATTTTTAAATTTGTATTAAAATTAGTACAAATCTCAGAACTCAATGTGGACTGTTTTTTTTGGACGGAGGTAGTAGTTAATTGTTCCAATAGTAAAAATGAATCACAACTTTTTTTAAAACTATTTTAGTTTTGAAATTTAAGTATGTTTGTTAAAAAAAATGTGATTATTTTTTAAAATATTTTTAATATTTTACAATATCTCACATTTTACTGATTATTTTATAATTCAATAATTATTAGTGAATATTTTATTATTTAAAAATTTTCAAATTTTCAATTCTTTTAAAAAACTTAATAGTTGAACTCTATTGATTTTGCTTTCAAATTCTAAATTTGATCCTATTAATAATTGTTAAACTCTATTAAACTTTGTTACTCACTTTGTCCCAGAAAAATAGTCTACATTGAGTTTTGAGATTTATATTAAAAATACTACAAACTCAAAAACTCAGTATGTACTATTTTTTAGGACAGACATAGTAATATTTAACGAGTATAAACCACTTATCCCCCTACTGAACACATTTTACACCCACCGTATATTTCTCGTGCAAGCACGGGATAAACACTAGTCATCATACTCAAACATATACATAATTGGGGAATAATTTGGTGGTTTGGTAGTCCTTTATATGTGCTAAATTTTTTGAATTTTACCTTAATGTGTGATTCCCACGTGAAATGACTTTTGTTATTCCTTTTGTAGTTTTCTTGTGCTAACTATTACTACTTAATTAATACCTAACCATTAGTTTAAAATTTAATGACTTAACACAATTATGACACTTCCACTTAAACTTCTATCAGTTACATCCCATTATCTTTTCCTCTTAGTGTAATAAAACACTTCAAATTAGAGGTTTTTTGCTTAAATTATTTCAGAGATACTCTTTCATTTCTTCCCAGCCACGGTGTCCACTATACGCTACATCAACATATTGTTTTCAGTTTCCAATAATTCCATTGAAAGTTAGTGGCAGACCACCATCAGTAAGAGTTCACAATGTATAATTTCTTGTCATAAACTTTGCTTGAGTAAGTGTATGTATGTGTTTAGACATTCCTGATCGCATATCAATTTGGTGCTTCTAAATTTATTTCAAACACAAAAATCTGATAAATTAGCTTTTAAAACATCTATTCTCTCCGGCAAATATAATTAGTTTTCCTCAATTTTCCATGAAACTTCCGTTGAACTTGCAGATGCTCTTTGTCCTGTTGCACATACTGAAACTTATTCAAAATGCAATTCAAAACTCTATGCATTCATTTATATTGTGTTAAATATTTGTTTTGACACCAGTACAATGAATACTAATTCATATTTCATTTTTTCAATAATACAAATCAATCAGATTATATCACTACCAATTATAAAAAAAAATCATATACCATAATTTGATACTCAAAACATATATATTTACTGTAAGTTCATCCATGTACGCAGGCGCGTTCAAGCCTCCTAATTATATTTAATTACTCTACTATTTTTCATAAGTAATATTCACTTGGTCATGCTACACGCTTCTCTTTTAGAATTTGATGTAATTTATTGCCAAGTTACACATTTCCATCTTCTGGTAGTGCATGACATCATTAACCATATAGTGTATTATAATTGCAAAATGTCAATTGAGCTCGATAGTCCTTTTAAGTGTTAACTAATCTTTTTCTTTTTTACTAAGAAAATGAAAAGATGTAACAACACAATGTTGATTGAGTTGGTAATCCTTTAATTCTTTGACTTTGATCTCTTTTCATTAATAATTTCTTCTTTAAAATTCTATTTTAAAAATTATATACACAAATTGATATTCATGATTAGGTGAATTTGATCGGACAAAAAATATCTTTTAGTATCAACTATGTTTTTTAATTATTATTTCTAACCAAGAAAATGTAAAGACATAAATGTTACAATTTAGTAATCCTTTAATACTCAAACTTTTGATTCCCTTCCATTGGTAGTTTTCTCTTTTATTTTTATTTTAAAGATTATAAATAAATTAATTCATTATTAAGTGAATTTGATTAGCCAATAAATCATTTCGATTATTTTTGTCTCTTTAAAGTCTTATTGTCTTTTCTTCTTCTTGTCTACAATTTAAGACTTTATTAGTGATTTTTAAGAGATTGCTTCATAACTCAAAATAAGTACTAAGAGCTTTTGTTTCTTGAATTTGTTAATGTGTAATTCTCAATAATAAAATTTTATAACATTTATCTTTTCTTTCTTTCAAGTGTCTTCCTTCTACAGTCAACGACCTCTCCATTTTGGAGGTAATTACCTAATCATTATTTTCTATTCAGTGTCCTCTATTTCTTGAAAAAATTTCAGTTTTGATATTTGTTTATTCTTTTTTTTTTTTCTGAGAGGTAAAAAATTGATTGTGTTCTCGTATTTAGTTATTATGTGTGTTTGTCATTTTTTTTGTTTTTGCTGCACTAAATTGTCAATAATTTTTTCACTAGCTATGTTATTACATAGCATACGTAAAGTGCGTCAATTCCATCTAGTTGATATTTAAATATATCACAAATGTTTTCTAATCTATTACACCACCCATTATGAAATAAGTGTAATTTTAGTAAATAAGAAAAATTTTAAAACATGTGTCATTCACACATTTTAATGTATAATATTTGTCAAAATGTTTTCAAAATTATCCTCCATAAGAATATATCCTTAATGAGATTTATTTGTTTTAATGAGTAATTAAGAATGGTAAAGTAATTTACATATCGTAATTAAGTATTTCTTAAACTATGTGTATCTATATACTATACTAAGGCAAAAACCAGAAAGAGAAATCTAAAGTTAAGGAGCACATGACACATAGGATAAAATCCTATGTGGCATTTTCTTAATTTTTTAGATATAAAAATGCACAAAACAAAAAAATAAAAACCAAAAAAAAAAAATGTAACTGAAAGAAATTAATAAAATAAAATACTGAAAAAATCAAAAGTCACTCCGAAACAAAGAATAAAGGTTATGATATCCAACTTTTTTTATTTTTTTGATTTTTCTTATTAAAAAATTGGATGGCCTCTACAACAAGTTAAGGAGCACATGTCACATAAGATTTTATCCTTTGTGGCATTTTCTTAATTTTCTAGATATAAAAATGTACAAAACAAAACAATAAACCCCCCCTCCCCCAAAAAAAATGCAACTGAAAAAATCCAAACCCTATATTGATTCGACCAAATCCCTGCAAATCCGATGGATGGATCTCTTTCTCCTAAAAAAAACGCAACTGAAGAAGAATTCTATATTAATAATTTATTAAAATAATTAAAGAAGTTAGGCCAACCTGAGATAAAAAACACTGAAATCAAATAAAATAAAAACACTGAAATCAAAAGTCACTCCGGAACAAG